CACCTGTTCTTCGATTACCTTCGCTCGGTTGAATCTGTGATGAACCGATTCGTGCAAAACCCTTCCAAAATCCAAGATTCTTGGAGGACAAAACTCTAACGGTTTTATTCAAGAAAACCCCACTGATTTCTCAACCCAAACCTGATTACACCAATGCTATGTTTGGATGTTATCACCTCAACAATGCAGAATGCACAACAAAAATGATTATGTGTAGTTGTTGAGAAAATGCAAGAAAGAGGATGAAGATGATGAGAACAAAATCAGTGTCTATTTTCACTTTTCTTGTTGTTATTGAAGAATAAGCTAACTCAATATAAATACAAGTCAAAAATAATTAACTAACTTAATAAACACTTTGACAGTTTCACATAACAAAAATGTATTAAAAAACGTGCAAGCGGTCGACCTATACACAGGGAAGGGTCGACCTAAGCTCACCCGGATTTCAGGTTGTGTAGAAAACAACAATTTGCATCGATCGGAACAGGTCATGCGTCGATGCAAAGCATACAAAATTAGACAGACAGAAATGAACACAGTATGAGTCGACCGGAGGGTCGACGCGAGCACTCCTGAGAGTAGACCATGCAAAATGCCTTCTGTATGAGTCGACCGGAACATTCTTTGAGTCGACTCAAAGATACAAAATATGCAAAAATGCAGATTTTCATGTATTTAACTAATTTTTGAGATACTCCACCATATTGCAAGTTAGACCAACATGATCAAACCTATATGGAGCATATATTGTACTGTTTCTATATGAAAAGATGTTTTTGACCGATGTTTGACGCAAGAAGAATAAGGTATGCATATGCAACACAATAATACTGTCCAAAGTACATTTTTTCTACATATCTAAGTTTTGACATCATTAAAACAAGTATAGCTAACCATGAGGAACTTTGCCCTCACAGTTTTGCAAGTGAACATATAAGATCGTTGGGTTTGAATTTTACACCCTCTTCTTGCTACACGGTCAACAGTGCTTATAAAAATTTATCTGAAGTTGATGTCAACAACAATCAGGCTAATTCTCAATTTTTATGGTTGAAGACTGTGTCGCTTAAGGTATCTATTTTTGCTTGGCGGTTGTTTCTGAATCGTAGTCTGACTAAAGACAATCTGCCAAGGAGGTGGATTCTTGCCACGAACAATAAAAAATGCATGGCAAATTTTGATGTGGATGAAGACATAAATCATTTGTTTGTAACATGTGATTTTTTCGATAGGTTGTGGTATATTATTTCTATTTGGTTAGGGTAGTCTATGGCAATCCAAAGAACAGGTTGAGATTATTTATTAGTTTGGTGGACTTTGTGATTTTTCGAAAAACATTTATTTGACTTTTGATACTATATAATTCGCAGTTGTTTAAGTTATGTAAAAAGAACGAAACATGTGTATTTTTCATAATAAAACGGAACAATTTTGGACGTTGTTTAAAAAGTAAAGTATTTGTAGTCAATATATATTTTATTTTAGCTTTTTTTGAAAAAATAAAAAACAACCTCCAAAAAAACATTCAAATTGAATTTCTATCTATTGCAACTTTTTTCCTCATTGACCATATTTTCCACGCACGCGCACTGTTTTCTAAATATAAAATTTCCTTGAATTTTTTAGTTTGAGACGAATTTTTTATTATTAATATTAAATAATATTACTATACTCCTACTTTAAAATTGTAGATGGAATTTAAACAATGTTTATTAAAATTATAAATTCTATCACTGAACTGATATTTCATATACAATTTCAAATACATAGGTAAGATAGAATAGGGATTGTCTACTCCAAACACATTTATTGAATTTGAATAAGACAAAATAGATTTGTTGAATCTTGGCCTGTTCTCATTGTTTAATGACAAACATATCAAAAGTCTGACCAGTTATTAAATTAAATGATTTAAAAGTGATATGATTAAAAAAAATGATAATCAAATAATGAGATTATCTTATCCAACAAACGAAACTAGTACTAGTGTAACATTCTTTAACAATAAATTACTTAGCCCCTAATTTATCAAGTTCTCTTTGACCCATTTTCTATGTATGAAATATTTCTTTCACAAATAACTTATAACTAGATTAAGACTTGTAAATTAAATTTTATTTATTTTTTATTGAATTGTAATTATATTAAAAATTATTTTTTAATAAATATGAGATAATTTTTTTTGTATTCATGACTATATTGTCAAAAATTATTAATATATGAATAGAAGAATTTCAAATGCTAGTTATTTGATTATATATATATATATATATATATATATATATATATATATATATATATATATATATATATATATATATATATATATATATATATATATATATATATATATATATATATATATATATATATATATATATATATATATATATATATATATATATATATATATAATATTGTAAAACATTTTTGTGATTTTGTTGATATTAATTGAAATATGAGAATTATTTAAAAAAATACTATCTTTATTTTTTATTATATTCATTAAGATCATTATTATAAAAAATAATTGAGTAAAATTTAAACTCTATTTTTTTATATGTGAAAAAATCAAGAATTGTGTTGTTATGGGGGAAGTTTTTCACTATGAAGCATTGAGTATTGTGGAATTTTTTTTGTTGAGTAAGAGCTCTTTTGTGAGAGACACGTTATATACTCACCCAAAATTTTAAGGTGGTAGATGTATGAGTTCTCCCACTTATAAATATTTAAGTTTTCATATTTTTAATTAATGTGGGACTATTACATATACTACTAACATTTGTTATACTCGTTTGTTTTTAATTTATTTGTTCGAATTATATGAAGAATGTAGAATAGAAATAAGTTAAAATTAATTTAGAGACATTTGAGTTAAATGATATATAAAATTTATTTTCTTTCATTTTTATAATTTAAAAATAACTACAAAAAAAATATATATAAGTGTTATTTTAAATTTATTATAACATTTAATTAATCATATTTAAAAACATAATTAATTTAATTGAATAAATAATTAATTTAATTCAAAAATTTATTATATTTAATTTAATTAAATAATTAATTACTATTTTTAATTTTTTAACTTGATTTAAATTAATTACATATTCTATCAAATTGATAACAATTTTACATGTGATTTTGAAGTATAGTATGGAAAACTAGATATCTTAAAACATTCATTCTCTTTTAAATCCTTAAATCAAAGTCAATTTATCTAAATAAAAAATAAAATAAATATAAAATTTTCAATTGTAAAAAAATAAAATAAATAAAAAACATGAAAATGAGAAATAAAAACAAAAGAGAGCAAATTAGAAAAAAGATATTAAGATACACTTTATGGATAATTTTGGCAACTTACCTAATTTATAGTCAAATTTCATATCATATGTCATATTTTATAGTCACAATCTTTAAAGTTAACTACACTTATTTATACACATTAATTGAATGTAAACAATTTTGTTAGGTAGAATCCAATTACAATTACAATTACAATTACAATCACAACATCATGAATGAAGCATTCAAATTGTACAAAAGCTATATGTGGAACATGGTCCCACTTACGTAGGATACCACCTTAATGTTAGTGCCTTTTCTTCTTTTTCTGTCCTTCAACAATACCAACCTTGTCTGTCTTCAACACCTTCCCCCTCTCTCTCTCTCTCTCTCTTTCACTTTTTTTCTTTGGTGGGTCGGTGCAAGTTTCCATTTTTCTTCTCTTTCTCGCTGTCAAAAGAAAACCCAGTTGAAAAAAGCTTCCATTTTTTTTCTCTATAGTCTCTGCCAAACCTTGCTGCAGCTTCTTACTGTTTCTGTTTCTCAAGCATTTTTTATTTTCTCATCTGGGTTATGCAGAAATCATTGAGTTCTGTTTGAGTTGGTTGGTGGTGCCAAGCTTTTGTGTGTGTTAAGCTTTTTCTTTGTGATTATCAATCTTTTTCATTAAGTTTAATCATTCACTTTTTTTTCTCTTCATATTGGAAACAAGTGGAGATGGAATCTCTGAACTTGTGAGCTGTAAATCTGTTGTAATTGTCTCAATTTCACTTTCCTTTTCTGGAAATAGTGGATAACTGAAATTTTCAGCTTTTTCTTTGAAACTTGAGTTAATCATTAAGGTCTGTGCATGAACCAAAAAAAGTTATTGACACCTTTCTATCCAAAGAAACTTATATTGTCATAGATAGAGTTTCACTCTTTTGTGAAACTAAGGGACTGAAAATTGAATTCTTAGATGCTTTGTCTTTTACTCTTTCAGCTTGATCACACAAAAAGAGTCCTTTAAAACAGGTACTTAGTTTTAGCTGTCATAATTTTCAGTCTCTCTTTATATATGTCTGATTTTGTTTCATATTCTTCCATTTTCTGACTCAATTTTTTGTGCCATGAGGAGTTGATGATTGAGATGACTAAACTATAAACTACTCAGGCGAAATTATAAGGCGTATTTGGTCCGAATATGGATCAGATTGATGACCTTTTCGAGTCTAGATGGTGTATGTTATTGAGTCTAAATCTGGCTAGGTTTTTTTATTTAGTTGATTTAAACAAACTTGTTAGCATGAAGAGATTAGCATGGTCTGCATTAGTCCCTTCTGGTTAGGGTGTTGCTCGCAAACTACATGATGAAGCATTTTTAGTAGTATATTATATATATATAATAAAGATTATACATAAATAGAAGAGAAAAGGGCAACAAGTTGAGTTGTTACCCTTTTTTGGATTCACAGACACCTCTTACTTCACTGATACACCGGCCCTCTTCACAGATACTCTGGCCCGCCGAAATATATTGCTGATGAGTTTTGAATTTGTTTATTGAATGTGTTTGTCCATCTATCAGGTTATGCAAAAGTATACCGCTGAAGAGCTTTGTATGAACATAGTCAACAAAGAGTCGAGATTACCTTATTAGCATCATAAGGAAAGGAGAAAGAGAAAAGATTCAAAAGAAGGGAGTCAATTGTGTTGAATCGATCATCATTATGGCAAAGAGGCCTCAAAGATTTCCTGTGCAGTATGAGAAAGATCAGTCAGGTTGTATGTGGGGATTCATTAGTATGTTTGATTTTCGACATGCTCGCTTTACTCGGAAGTTGATTGCAGATAAGAGGCACAACAACAAGCAGGCTCTTGGTAATATCTTAATGAAATTAATGTTTTTTTACTTCCAAATTAATGTTTGTAATGTATGTAAAGTGTATAATTAGATTTTCACTTTTTTGTTTCAATAGAGGCTGTTCCTACGAAGAACAAATTCGAGGCGTTGAGCGATTTGGATGAAGAATATCAAGGAAATTTTGTAAGTTTGTTTGTCAGTATATGCTTGTCTGAATCTCGATGGTTTTTCTTTCAGCAAAAGTTCGGAGTTTAAATTCATGAAAGTTGAGCACTAAGTTACATTAGATTATGATTTTTCTTAGCATATTCATTTGTTGATGTAACTATCATATATGTTTCAGGACAGAGAGAGCAAGAGACTAACGGTGAAAACGGGTGCTGACAAGCTTAGTGTAAAGAGACTCATAGAAGAAGAGATGTTCATTGACCGGGATGAAGTAAAGGATCAAAGTAATAATGTAGGATCAAAGCGAACCGAATTAGGGTCTCGAGATTCCCTGAAGACGGATTCCAAAAGAAAAAGAAAATCACACAAGAAAAGCCGAGATATGGACACTAATGATGTGACTGTAACTAATGATGTGAGTGTAACTTTGAAATCTGAATTCTCGGATAATCAGCACTTAAAGCAACAATCAAGAGATAATCTAGATTTAGACAAGATAATGGAAGATTTTTGTCAAATTGAACGTGCTTGTTCCTTGATGCATGATGACGATGATGATAGCAAAGTTAATGCTCAATCAAACCAAAAGAACACTAATTCAGAAGAACTTGCAAGAGATGCAATTCATGATTTTGTGAAGCAGAAGATATTGAATGGGAAAGATCGTGTAGAAGATAAGAAACGACTTTCCTCACATGAACTCATGGAAACACTTCAGGTCATAAGCTCGGATAAGGAATTGTTTCTTAAACTTCTACAAGATCCGAATTCACACTTACTGAAATATATGCAGGAGTTGGAGAATGCTCGAGGGAGAAGTGAAAAAGAATTCAATTCTGTTGCTGATTCCAACTTCTCCGAACAAGACCTTCACAGTCTAAAACAAACCAAGGAGATTGTCAACCGAAAGCATCGTAAATTCTTCTGGAAAAAGGTAAAGTCTCGATCAAAAGTAATTGCGAAGACTGAGGTTCCAAATAGAATTGTCATTCTGAAACCTGCAACAACGGGCATGCAAATTTCAGAAAGTGAAAACAATATTGCTTCGTCGCCTGATTCGCGTGATATTGTCCCTTACAAAAGTCCTTCTTCTATCAGAGTTGGTTCACATTTTTCTCTTACAGAGATAAAAAGGAAGTTAAAACATGCTATAGGAAAGGAGAAGAATGGAAGCCGCGAATTCCCCGCCGAAGGTGAAATCAACGGCTCAACAGGCAAGGTGAATGGTAAAGATAAAAATGGAATGAAATCTCCTAATAAAGACCGTTTCTTCATTGAAAAAATCGCAAGACCTATGTTTGATGTTGTGAAAGGAAACAAGACTAGTACATTGAAAGACTCCAAATTTAATGCGGAACGTGAAAGTGGCTCTAAGAAGGAAAAAGTTTCTAACATTTACATCGAGGCTAGGAAACACTTATCTGAGATGCTAGAAAATGGAGATGATGACACAGGCGTTTCTAGCAGGCAGATTCCGAAAACCCTTGGGAGAATTCTATCTCTTCCTGAGTACAACTTCTCTCCTCTTGGAAGTCCTGGAGGGAATTTGGAGCATCATTGTGTGACTGGCATTGCACGTACAAAATTTTCCACTTCAGATAAAATAGTCGAGGTTAATGACGATAACTTGTCTCCCAAGCAAGTTACCTCTATCGATCAAATAGATCAGGAAACAAGCATTTCAGGGAACCAGTCAAGTGTTTGTGATGAAAATGAAAGATCTAACGAAGTACCGGAAATTAAGACAAAGTCAACTTTCTCGCATGATCTTGGTCACGTTGATAATGTTGAAGCCAGTTATCCTGTTAGAGATGACATTGTTGTTGAAGGTACGAGTTCAAAATATATGATTTAATTATTAGATACTATGATAAACTACAAACTTTGGCCTGTGTGTGCATGCATGCATTTACATATATTCTTTCATTTATCGTTTCTTCACTTTTATGCAGGTAATGTCGAACTCACAAAAGATATAAATGTTTTGGAATCTTCCTCGGATCCAAATGACTGCATTGATCGGAAGGACCAAAATAACGATGCCTCAGAAATTCCTGATGATACTAGATTTTCTGAAAGTTTGAATGAGGTAATTTCACTCACTACATTATTTATTTGAGAATAAATTGGCTATAATACCAGAAGTATAACCAGTTATAATGGACCCTTCAAGATTTCTTTCAAAGTCTCTTTAACTGTAAGATTTTATTTAAAGTAAACTGTCATTTGATTCTTTTACAGGATGTGAAAGAAGAGAACCAACCATCATCTCCACTGTCTTCCCCTTCTCACTCTTCCATCACAGAGAAAATTGAAGAGCTAGAAATTAGTGCAGATGTATCTGGTCGACCAAGTCCAGTTTCTGTGCTCGATATACCATTCTCCGATGATGACCCTGGCTACTCCACATGTCAGCCTGGTAAAATTCCTGCACTAGAACCTTGAAAATCCTCTAGCTGTCTTCTTCAAATTTAAAAGAATATTTCAAAATCCAAAACTAAGAAAAGAAATGAAAAACATTCGGTTGACGTGGTTCCTTAATTCGTACTTTATGATCTAAAAATATTTTTCAGACAATCTGTAGGTTTAGATATTTGTTTTAACACATTCTTGCTTGATTTTCAGTTAAATTACGAGCACAACCGCTACAAATTCGATTTGAGGAACAAGACACTTCATCAATGGATCGATTTCATAGAAGAAAATGTTGTTTTGAAGAAAATGAATTGATATATGACTACATAAATGCTGTCTTCCACGCCTCTGGTTTGACACAAGATCAACTATTGACGAAATGTCTTTCCTCAAACAAGATACTAGATCCTTCCTTGTTTGATCAGGTAGAGTTCTTCTCGAACATGCTTTTCCACGAGCAGAAGCTCCTCTTCGACAGTATCAACGAGGTTCTAATGGAGGTTTGTTGGCATTACTTTGGAGTATCACCTTGTGTGTCATTTGTAAATCCTAGTATAAGACCAACACCAAATATGAAAAAGATTATTCTCAAGGTTTGGGAGGGAGTGTGTTGGCATGTCCTTCCATTGCCACCACCGCATACATTGGAACAAATTGTTAGGAAAGACCTGGCAAGAAATGGAACATGGATGGAACTTCGACTCGATGCTGAAACAGTTGGTTTTGAAATGAGTGACACCATTCTTGTAGAACTGATGGAAGATGCAATATTGAGCCTTGTGAGTGAAAGTACAGAGAGTTAATGTTCAGTGCTTCAATTTGAAGTGAATGACAATGATAACAGCATTAACATGTAGAAGACAACTTATTGGTTTTTCACTCAAGCATGCTGTTAAATAAGTTCGTGCAGGGGACGAAAAATTGGTCAGGAAGAATAACGGGGTGTCATAGGCTTCTTTAACCATACCTGACTAATCTGATATTGGATAGTAGAATGTGAATGAAGATAATATTCAATAAGGAACCATAAAAGCCAAGTTGCAGCTGCTTCTGGCAAAAGTACTTAATTACACTTGTTTTCATGACAACAGATGAAGCAACAGTTTTACTTGGGTGAGGGGTAAAGGTGTTTGATAGTAGATTTTGTAAAGTTTGATTTGGTGATCACATTTCCTGGTGTGTTTTTTTTTTGTTCGACACAATACTTTGTATATTTGCTTTTTGGTTAACCTATTGTATTGAGTGTGTGTGGAAATAATGAAATGTGAACTCAGCTTGGCACAGTCTTGTATCCGAGAGAACAAGTAGAAATGTGAAAGATTCAAATAAGAATGCTTCATAGTGTTTTACAACAATATTTTAGTCTACAGAAGTGGCAATTAAGCCCTCAATCAAAATAATGCATCCGAAAGAGGAATGCTTAAATACAGTCATGACAGCCAAAAGTAAAGTACTGCATTGTTGAAACCAGCATGACAGGTGCAAAATATGCTATAGCGCAAAGCCTTACGTTAAAAAGGTTTAATATTAGTGTGCAGCTTCCTTTTCTTATTTCCCAGTATAGGCGGTGTCAAAGGAACTGCTGCCTTTCTCTTGGCAAAAGCATTAGTTCTGCTTTCATCTTCGTCGTCTTCGTCATCACTCACAAACGGACTAGACTCTTTGGCAACATTGGCTGCTTTTCTTTTATCAGCACCCAATTTGGCGTGCAGTTTCCTTTCAACAGGGTCATTTGAAAGCCCGACATTGGATTGCCGAGGAACTTTTGCACCTAGACCGAGCCTGCCAACGGCCAACATAACAACATAAGTATATATAAATAGATTTGCAGGAGCTATTTCGCGAACAATTTAACTATGGTGATGATTATACTGACTTATGAGGTCTACCCGCCGTATTAACATTTGTTGATTCATCATCCACGGATCCGCTCATACTCTTTACCCATACCTCAGCCTGCCAATCAACATCATTATAATTGACAACTAACTAACTCACAGGAGCAACAAGAAATTCTTAATACTTGCAGCAAACATAAAATCAAGACACACAAAGCTAACAATTTTACCAGTTTGAAGGCATTGTTCAACTTAACAATTGGGGGTGGAGCAGTTTTCTTTGGGTTTGCTGGAACACTCATTACAAGCTTTTTGTACCTTGATAAAATAAGAGAAATGATGATTATGGTTTTAATTGAATGAAATTGATGCTACAATGTGAGTAGAATGCATTTTATATAGTGATTCTAAGGTATAACTAACATAACCAACTAGCAAAAAAAATCAAAATTCATAAATCAAAAATCAAAAACTTTTTATCAATTCAATATCAACAAGTATTAATAAAAAAACAGAGGAATATTGTATTATTAAAAGTGAAACAAAGGAATAGAGTATTAAATTTTAATTTAAAAAAAAAAAAAGTAGAAGACAGAGAAATAGGAAAGAAAAGAAACTTTACCGTGAGGAATAGAGGAAGAAGAAGATTAAAAGAAGAAAAGAAGAACTTTAAGGTACCACTACCAACCAATCTGAAGAGAAGACGGCGACGCTGGGAAGAAGAACCGACGGCGGAGACGGCGGAGGATCTGGGTGGAAACAGAGAAGGTGGCGGCAGTGCAATAAGATTAGCAAACATGAGAGAGTGAAGCCAACGGAGAGAAGGAATCGAACGCCAGGAAGAGGAGATTGGATTTTAGGACTGAAAGTGCAAATTGACAAAAATACCCTCAAAGGATTTTTTTAAAGAAAAGCATTTTGGGGTTTTCATTATTTATTTATTTTAATAAGCAAAATTATTAGTAGCATTTAAAACAAAAAGCAAGTTAAGATAATGATTGACACGCTTAGTCAGGGGTTGACTGACTAAATTCATGATGGGCGATTTCATAAATATCACTCATTTGTTTAAATATATCTTCTTTCTAAACAGAATATAAATATTAAAAGAAAAAATAAAAAAATTAACAGTAACAAACTTATATTTTCTATGATCTAAATTAAGAGTTTTTCTGATATAAAAAAATTATTTTTAAATAAGAGTCTATTTATAAATATTATGAAAATTTTCTTTGTAAACAATGTTTGTCGTTATTTGTGTTGCTCTTCTTATTGTTTGGTTGCGATTCTTGAGAGTGCAATATGAAAATCATAAAATATTATAATGGTTTGTGTTTTGATATATATAGTCCTACTCAATTCAAAGATTGTCCTTAGAATTTGTTAATCGTCATTGCATATGATACAATAATTGGGAATTGACGTATGTTTAACTTGAAAGGTCAATGGGATTGCGAAGGGGATATATCCATTCGGGGAATGTAAATCAACTTTCCATTGCCTTTTCTAGACATGATTGCCACTTCAATATCAAGATTCCTCATCTTTGTTACGATTAGTCTTGTGCCATTACACAAACCTTCAGATTGATTGATGTTCTTCATAAGCATAATTGGTGTTCTGATCTTTAACTTAATTTGATGGTTAGGCAACTCAGATATTTTCAATGAACTAAGAAACTCGAGGCTTATGACATCAAGGAAGTTGTTGTCGTGTATTTTCGATCGGTCCACTGTGTTAGAGTTGTAGTAATCTCGTAAGTCACTTGTGTATAAAAATGATAGTTATGAGGGAAAAGAAAGAAATATAAAAGTTATATTTTTGAAATAAGTAACTAGAAACTATAGTAGGCATCAAGGCAAAAACACGATCATTGATTTGATCAACTACTTCAAATGTTGATGCTAGTATGGACCGACCTTTGAGGTAGTTGTAAGATTGAAAACTATCAATGAAATTCGGGTAAGCATTATTGACAATGGCAACAGTAGGGTTGGTCAAGTTTGTTATTAAAATCTCAAGGGGCACGTAAATTTCAACAAAACTGTCATTGGATTCAAAAACTCTCCCTTCACCAATTTGTAAAAGCCAATTTGAAAAGGTTGTGATTTCCATTTTGTCTTCTTCAGTGGGCCTAGAATGTAAACGCATGTTCTTGGTTAAACTCAAAACTTTGGCAAAATGCCATGTCATACTCCCAAATTTACTCTCAGGTTCGTTGATCTCTTGCATATCATTTTAGGTCAATCATTTCTCGCATACTGTCTGTTTTATCAGCCATAATGAATTCATCAGAATTACAGTCGAATCGTTCAAATCAAAAGTCAATTATGCGTAAAATCGGTGGACGAAGGATTCAAATCAAGTTTGTAGACGTCAGTAACATTAATCTGCGTTTCACGTGGTTCAATCAAACGTGCTTATTTGAATTTCTATAACGATCTTTCGATCGCGTCTTTGGACAATTTAAGTTGTTTCAGCGGGTAAAATTTATTTTAAAATCGGACGAAACGTTGTGTTTTTGAGTGGTTCATTCTACGCTGATAATTTTGGCGCAATCGTTTTTTGTTTTCGAGTATTTTAATTCAGCTTCTTTATATTCGCTTTTATTTATTTTATTTGTTTTTAGTATATCATTTAACTAATTTAGAATTAATTTAGTTTGATTAGGTAATTAAGATTTTATTTCATCTTTTTAATTATTTATTTATTTCTTAGCTAATTGATTTAAAATTAATTTAATTTAGTTAATTAGATTTTTATTAACTTTATTAATTGCTATCATTCATTTATTAATCTTTTAATTAGTTTTTTTATAAGTTGACATTAGATAATTAGATTTTAGTTGGTCTTTAATCAAATTTAATTTAATTAAATTGTTGCTATTTATGTAATTAACTTTTTAATTTATAACTTTGAATTAGAATTTTCTTAATTTAGTCATTTTTCACTTTTATTATTTATTCATTTAGTTTTAAATTAAAATTTTAATTTAAATTCATTTACTTGCATTAATTGAATTAGTTCTTTTTAGTTATTTTGTTTTTTCTTTTATTATTTAAATTCATATATTAGTGTATACTTTTTAAATTAAATGTGGTTTTGTGTATTTATTTTTCTTTTTAATTATGTTTATCCAAACTTTAATATTTTTTCTTAGAGGTATAATTTTAGTTAGTTTAATTAATTTACTTGTTTTCAATTAAAAGAAAAACTTCAAAAATAATTTCAATTAGTTTCTTTGTGAATTAATCTTTCGGACTTTTGATTTATGTCTATAGTCCAGGAGTTAACCTTTTAAGGATTATTAGTAGGTTTAGATTGTTTTTTTATTATTATTAATTAATTAAAAATCTCAAAAATAATTTTCTCAATTAATCCTTTTATTTTATTTTATTTTGTTCTTAGAATAATTATTTAGGATTGTTAATCATCTAGATTTTTGTTAATTTAGTCGACCTAACCACTAACTTGCGTGACTTGTAGCTTAGGATCTCTTTGTCGATCTTGTAGTTTTGTTTTTTTTTACCTCGACTATGTTGTTGTTCATATCCTTTGGTCACATTATTTCTCTTTGCCTAATATATGGTTGGTTGTTTATATGCTTTAGTCTCGCTTTCTCTTGTTGATTCATCTTGATGCCTATACCGATTCCAAAGGAAAGGAGCCCATAGTTGAATGCCATGTCATGTTGGATAGCCTTGTCCATCTTTTCCCCGAGACCTTGTGAGAGTCTTGCTTGTTTAACCTAGTTTAAGTTTGGAGTCGCACGCACTCCATGTAAGTGCCATTATTATGAACACTTACTTCTCCGTGGAACCTTGACCATAGTCAAGAGTTCCTCAACCTTAGTAGGACGAACTACGGAGGCTCTGATTCCCCTTTCATATTCAGGATACGTAGGCACAAGATGCGATATCTTGTTGAGCCCTCTAACCACTAACAACTAACATTTAACTCTCTCATTTGGGTTTGGTTAGAACCAATTGGTCTTGCAATTTAGAATTAGGTGTAGAGTTGGTAAACTCTATATGGGTATCATGGTTACGAGTACTCACTTTCCCCTTTGACTTTGGTTGAAGTCAACCCTAGCTAGGTTAGTTTTCAACTTAGACTTAGAGAGTTGGTTAACTCTGTGTGAGTATCATGGTTATGAATACTTACTTCCCCTTGGAACCTTGACCATAGTCAAGAGTTCCTCAACCCAAGTTAGGTGAACTACGTTTACTCTGATTCCATCCTAGTCAGGATACATAGGCACGAGATGCGATGTCTTGGCGAGCATACTTTGTATATACCCTAAGTCTTTACCTTAGCATTTTTTCCTTAGCAAGCAAAATTTAGCATAACACAAATACAAATAAGAGGTTCTTGTAGAGTACTATAGATACTTAAGATGCTAAGACCTTCCCTAGATATAACCAACCCCCGAACTTTAGATCTCTAGCTATTTTGTTACATAACGCACTTAGGGTTTTCTTCGATCTTTACCCTTTCCTTTGGATAAATCAAAGCTCGATGGTGAACTTCATGATTTGTGATTCAAGTTAATTAATAGCTTGATATCTGATTTTGTCTTCTTCAGTGGGCCTATAATGTAAACACATGTTCTTGGTTAAAGTCAAAAGTTTGGCAGAATGCCATATGTAAGAAGCATTTATTGAACAGTGGACAATATTTGAACGACTAATTCTAGGGATGATGGGTAAAATTTGTCTAAGGTCCCCATCAAAAACAACAACCTTGCCACCAAAAACATCATTTGAATTGGCATATGTACTCATGACATTCTTCAAATTTTTGTTAAGTGCCTCAAAAGCATGCGTATGAGCCATGGGTGCCTTATCGCAAATAATGAGCTTGATTTGCCTTAGAAGTTCTGTGACATCGTCGTCGTAGTCCACTTTTCAAGTAGAATTTTCCAAAGTTGGGACATGTATTTTGAACTTAAAATGTTGTTCTACCTCTCGGTAACAAAAGATATGTTATTCCACTTGTTGCAACTGTCAAACAAATATCATGTTTTGACCTCAATGCACTTTGAAGTGTTATGCACATATAAGTCTTACCTGTACCACCATAACAATGCAGGAAAAAATTCCACCTTTTTTAGTATTGATCGCGTCAATGATTTTACTGTATATACTCATTTGTTCATCTAAACAAAATATGAAAAATATGTTTGTAAAAATGAGATACAATATTTGGATGTTTAAGACCTGAAATGTGAGTATATATAAGTTTGGAAAGACTTAAAAAGTAGACAGATTGAAATACCAGTAAGAGCATTGTAAAGAATAGC